ATATATGCACACTCATGTTTGTCGCGGCTTTGTTCACAATAGCAAGGAGCTGGAAACAGCCTAAGTGCCCATCAACAAATGAATGGATAGAGAAGCTGTGGTATATTCACACAATGGAATACTACGCTACATTGAAAAACAAGGACCTCATGTAATATTATTCAAAACGGGTGACCCTGGAGGACATTATGCTGAGTCACAAAAGGACAAGTACTGCATGGTGCCACTGTTGTAAAAAAAGACTGGGGTTGGGGGAAGACTGAGAAAGATGGATTCAATAATGAATAGTGCATTGAAACAGATGAGGGAGAAAATGGTTTAAAAGGGATATGTGATTAGGTATTTTTGTCAGGAGTCTAAAGCGAAGGCAGCATAGTGGAGTGGACCTGGGGGGAGGGATTGTAAAACAATGAAAGAATTTTACTTTTCCAAGAGGGTAGTGTACTGAGGAGGAGGATTAGGAGGGGAGAAAAGTGCAACAATGAAGGAATGGAAATCTAAAGTCTCTGTAAATTTTCATTTAAATTAATAATAAATTTAAAAAGAAAAAATAAACAAAGATCCATGCACATAAGGACAGCACTGTAACTGTGCTCATTTTACAGATGCCAAGACTGAAGCTTAGAGAAGTAAAGTAACCTATTCATAGGTAATAAAGGGCAAGATGAGGCTTCACATCTAAACCAGACCTCAAAGGCAAGACACTTGGGCACAATATTCAACCCACTCTCAATATATCTTCCTTAGAATAATCTATGGGATCTCAAGGTTATATTTTACTTTGAGGCATTTTGAAAAGCTAGACAGAATGTTTTGCACTTTGTGTTGTATCTGAAGCTTACCACAAACTGCAGACCTGTGAGTGCATGACCTGTTAGACTTCTATTTACCAAAATTCCAAGTTCTCAATGGAAATTCAAGGGAGTTCTAATGGCCTAGTGGTAAGGAGTTGTGCTGTCAACCCAAAGGCAGGCAGTTCAAGAGAGAAAGAGGTGCAGTCTCCTCCTGGACAATTTATTGTCTCTGAAAACCCACTCAATCAGCTCTGAGTCAATTCCAACTCAACAGTACATAACAACAACAATGGTAACACTGGGGCTGCCTGTCTCACCTCGGCACAGGGCAGCCCCTCCGTGTGGGTACTCACCACCTCTGTCACACACAGCTGTCTCTCCATCCCACATGCCATTGGGGCGACACTGCCGCACAGCCGAACCCCTAAGTGTGAAGCCATCTTCACACTCAAAGCTGATGTTGCCCCCCACCGGATGGGATGCCAGGCGTGGGGTGTACATGCCATTCCCAAAGGAAACAGGAGCAGGACAACGAACAGCTGGAAGGAAAGAAGAGTCGGGTATGTGCACTTAACTCCTGAGCTGGGCACCAAATGGGTGGAGTTCAGCAGAGCTACATGGCAATGGCCACCTGACTGTCAGACTATTGAAATAATGGGCTAGAACACGTGAAATTCTGTTTTTGGCAATTTGTTGAACGTTGGCCATTTCACCCAGTTCAAACCTAACTGAACCTACCTTGGTGCAGAATAGGACGGTGTTCAGATCTATTTTTCTGACGGCTGCAATGAGTCATAATCAACTTGATGGCATTTAACAACAGTCTCCTTAGGGCCATGGCCTTCTCAGTCCCAGTTCTAAATGGCCAGTATTGTCTGCTCAGTTATCATATTATGCCCATGTAGGCATGTACACCCATGGTCCCATAAGGTTATAATGTTGAGTCTCAGTGACATTGAGTCAGAATCAACCCATAGCTGACCTACCTGAGGATTTTCAGAGGCAGTTAATCCCATGGGAGGAGATTGCCCATCTTTATCCCTTGGAGAAACTGGTGGATTTGAACCTCATGCCTTTGGGACATCAGCACAGTTTCTCACCACTAGGTTACCAGAGCTCCCTGAGATTATAATAGAGGTACTTATAATAGAGAGCTCTGGTGGGCTAGTGGTAAGAAACTGTGCTACAGTCCCAAAGACATGAAGTTTGAATCCACCAGATGATCTGTGGGGAAAAGATAGCCAGTCTCCTTCTGAGCAACTATAGGTTGGTTCTGACTTGGTGGCAAACAACAACAGCCACATAATGGTTCATAGTAATAACTAGATGCTACTCTGGAATGTGGATCAAACATATTATCATTGCTTTTTTATGCTAAAGATGCTTTAGTGTATATGCAAGTGTTTCTTTAATGTTTCTTTAATGCATAGAAAGGCAGACAATATGCTATATAATAAGGCAAACATTTGACTAACTTTAGATACATGTCCTAACTAGCTGTTCCAACTTAAGTACAAAGTCAACTGAAAGACAGACTTAGAAATGGAACTTGCTCCTAATCCAGCAGCTACCTGTATATAATTGGTGTCCACATGTTGTCGAAATCACAACATCCTATTTCATACAGCATATTGTGGACATTAAGTGTGACGTATAACTGCATTATTCCTGACTTTCATTTCCTGCCATGAGAGCCCTCTAATCCTATGTTAAGGACAATCTACAATTCCAAGTATTTGGGGGAGAAGAAATCCCATTGCCATTAAGTCATTCTGACTCAGCAAGACCCCATGTGTTATAGAATGGAACTGCTCTACAGGGTTTTCTTAGCTGAAACCTTTACAGAATAGATTGCCAAGTCTTCTTCTGAGGGACCTCTGGGTGGATTTGAACTATCAATCTTTATGTTAATAACCTACCAAAAACAAGTTATGCCCTCTAAGGCTCATTATTTTTTTTTTTAAAATCCTCTGCAAAAGCAGCCTTGACCTCTGTATACTCCTCCAGCCTGGTCAAGCACAATTCTGAGCAATTCTAGTCTAACAGAAGTTCTGGAGTGGCCATTCATGGGACATCTGAAACAAGGCCTGAGAAAGCCTCACGTTTGCAGACTGCCTTTGTCAGATGGGAGGCTCGAGGGGTCTGCCATTGTCCGTTGCTCTTGCACAGGCGAGATGCTGGGAACGGGTAATAACCCAAGGGGCAGGAGTAGATGAGGAGGCTCCCAGGTGCCCAGCCATTGCTGAGGGTGAAAGTGCCTCTGGTAATGTTCACATTCCGAGGGCAGGAGGGAGCGGCTGCAGCCAAGCCTGTGGGTATGGAGACAGGGAAACAGAAACAGGGAAAGAAGAAAGGCATTGGTGAGAGAAGTAAAACCAAAGAAATCATCCATTTCACACATGGAACTCAATCTGAGTATCACCGGCTTTCCTTACAGCGCCCTGACACCACCCCTCCCCTACCTCCTACCTGGGTACAAGGCCAGAAGGCAAAGGAGAGCCACCAGAAGGTCCATGATGTCCACCTTGGGCCAGGGAAAGGCAGATAGCCAGAGAGAGGTCATCTGACTTCCCGAAAACCAGAGCTGGCTCAGCAGCTGCCACTTCCAGAAAAGAGAAACTAGGGAGTGGCAGTAGAAAGGTCTGCTGGTGGAGAAAAAAATAATCAAGGGTTAGAGAGGTCTTTGCCCTGTGCCCTTAATCCACTATGTCCATAAGGTCCACCACAGCTTTGATTTTATTGCTACACACACACACATATATTCACACACTCTCATGCAAACACACATGCGCGCGCTCTCGCTCACTCACTCTCTCTCACACACACACACATATACACACAAACTTTTGTATTAGCAGTCTAAAGCACACACACCAACAAACCATCCAAGATTGCAAAATACTTTATTTAAGTAAAGTTTCAGTGTTCTTCTGGGTTGTTCCAAATCAATTTTGGTTCCTGAAAGCCCAGGACAGTGCTGTTTTCTTGAACCTAAGACTTAATTTTCATTAAGAGCTTTTTGACAAGTAGAAAAATTCACAATCATTTTCTCCTCTGCACATCTCCCCCAGGGAGAGTTTATGGGTAAAAGTGAAGCCAGCGATTCATTCTGGGGACCAGGAAAAGACTTACAATATTTTTACAAAAATCCACTAAAATTCCCAACTTACAAAATAAATCCATTTATGGCCAGCTAGTCTTGTAACAAAAATATTTTAGGATGGAAAATTTGGGAACAGATAAGGATGCTGACTAACTAGCATGATTAATGTCATTGAGCTGTGCATTATTGAAATGGCAAATGTTTTATTACCTAGCCATTTGGCACAATAGAAACAAAGCAATGAACTATTTTGGAGTTGTGATGTACCTTAAAATTACAAACTGTTCTCCTATGATAAGAGAAAGGGGAGTCTGTAGGACCTAGTAGGAAGAAACTGTGCTACAATCCTAATGCATGCAGTTTGAATCTACCAACTCCTCAGCAGAAGGATGGGCAATTTCTTTCAGTGCAATTAATTGCCTTTGAAACACCCATGGGAGGGTGAGCTATGGTTTGCTTCTTTAGACACTTCACAACAACAACAACAAACTCCCATGAAAGATAGGAAGCAAAGAAACTTGAAACCAATGTATTCATCACATCCCAAAACCTATTGGAAGTCTTTTTAAGAGTTTAACAGTTTTTGAAACAATATTGGCAGCACCATGATAAATGGAGAAGAGATTGAGGTCGTTAACAATTACAACTCGCTCTACTCCACAATCAGCACTCTTGGCACCCACAGTCAGAAAATCAAAAGACTAATTGCACTGAGAAAATCTGCTGTCGGGGACTTTTCCAGAGTGCTGAGAAGCAGTGATGTCAGTCTAGAGACTAAGATGCACCTGATCAAGTCCATGGTCTTCACAGTTACTTGTAATGCATCAGAGAGCTGGACAATGACTAAAGATGATAGAAGAATTGATGACTTTGAATTGTGGTGCTGGAGAAGAATTCTGAACACACTTGAACCACTGAGAAAACAAATAGGTCTCTCTTGGAACGGTGAAACCAAATTTCTCCTTGAAGGCCAGGATTTTGAAGCTCCGTCTCACATATTTGGGGCACGTGGCCAGGAAGGACTGGTCCTTGGAGAAGGATACTATACTTGGAAGGGTGAAAGGACAGCACAGGAAAGGAAGACCCCGGATGAGATTGATTGGTTCAGTAACTAGGGTAATGGAGGTAAGTGTGGATATGAGTGATATGTATCACTTCCAATTGGAACATTTAAAAGCCAATATAACTTTTACTAAACTCTCTTTCTCTCTGGGGCCCTACAGGACAGAGTAGAGCTGCCTCATTGAGTTTTCAAGGCTGTACATTTTACAGAAGTTGATTATCACATCTTCTTTCTGAGAAGCATCTTGTGGATTCAAACCGCCAATCTTTTGGTTTGCAATCAAGCCCTTAACTATTGTACCACCATAAAAGGCTCCATAAGCAAACTTAAAGGACAGTACTACTCTGTGGTTGTTGTTGTTATGTGCTATCGAGTCAAGCATGACTGATAGCGACCCTGTGAACAAAAGATCTAAACCCTGTTCTATCCTGTGCCATCTTCACACTTCCTGACACACAAGAGTCCACTACAGCAGTCACTGTGTCAATCCACCTGGGATCTTCCTCTCTTTCACCAACCCTCCACCCTCCATCATGTCCTTCTCCAAGGAATAGCCCTTCCTAGCAACATGTCTAATGTATGTGAAGTGAAGTGAAGTGAAGCCTCATCATTCTTACCTCCAAAGAGCACTCTGTCTGCACCCTCTCCAAGACATACTGTTTGTTCTCTTGGCAGTCCATGGGATGTTCAGTGCTCTTCTCCAACACCACAGCTCAAAGGTATCAATTCTTTTCCTGTCATCTTTACTTATTGTCCAGTTCTCAGATGCATCAGAAAGACCATGGCCTGAATCAAACGCACCTTAGTCCTAAAGCTGACATCACTACTCCTCAATAATTTGGAAAGGTAATTAACTGCAGAATTTCTCAGTGCAATGCATCTCCTTATTTCCTGACTGCTGGTATAACGGGTGTTAACTGTGGATCCAAGCAAGATGAAGCTGCTGACAGACTCTGTAGGACATGGGGTCAATTTGAGTCAGAAACAGCTCAACAGCAGTGTTTGGTTTTTGTTTTTTCTTGAGAAAATGACTTAGAAATTTCACCCAACTTGTCTTCTTACATTCCATTGGTTGTTGTTGTTGTTGTTGTTGTTGTGTGCCATCGAGTTGCTTGCGACTCATAGCGACCCTATGTACAAGAGCTCTAAATGCTGTTCTACCCTGTGCCAACCTAGCCATCTCAAACACACCTATTCCCACC